GAGCTAACCATGACGACAGCTACAAGAAAGAAAAAGTTCCAAAATTGATAGTGGTGATGATTACACCGTTCTTAATATGATTAAAACCTGTTGTTGGCTGCTAACCTCAAAGTCAGCAGTTCAAACCCTCATCATCCTCAGGAGGAAGATGAGCCTTTCTCCTCCGGTGAAGAGTTCCAGTCTGGGGAACCCACAAGGGGAGTCTACCCTGTCCTGTAGGGTCCCTGTGAGTCGGCATCGACGCGATGGCAGTGGTTTTGGTTTTGAGTTGTGTGATCCATGAATTATATTCCACGGACACTGTTCAAAACAAAGCCATATCCGTTGCTATGGGGTCACTTCTGATTCATAGTGGCCCTGTAGAGGGTTTCTAAGGCTGTAAGTCTTTATGGGAGCAAACAGCTGCATTGTTCCGGTGGATTTGAACCTCGGGCTTCTCCAGTTAGTCCAATATTAACCAATAGCACCCCTGCACTCCTGGTAGAAGGGCTGAAGTAAAAGGTCAGGAGTGCTTAGCAGAGAGCCTGTCGGAGGGCAAGTACTGCCCAGAAAAGCCCTGGCAGAGACTGTTGGGCACACAGAGGAAGGAAGGTTGGGGCCAGTCAGTAAGAGAGCGTGGGCCTGGCCAGGGTGGCAGCACTGGGTGTGTGTGGGCCCTGACTTCTCTCCCAACTCCAGATGACTTCCGGATCTTCTGTGGGGACCTGGGCAACGAGGTGAATGATGACATCTTGGCACGTGCCTTCAGCCGCTTCCCGTCCTTCCTTAAGGCCAAGGTCATCCGGGACAAGCGCACAGGCAAGACTAAAGGCTACGGCTTCGTCAGCTTCAAGGACCCCAGTGACTACGTGCGCGCCATGCGCGAGATGAATGGTGGGTGAAGTCTCCCCGGGAGCCTGGGGATGGTGGGTGCGTGGCAGGGACCTCCATAAGCTTGACCTTGAGCCCTCCCTACCACAGGGAAGTATGTGGGCTCCCGCCCCATCAAGTTGCGGAAGAGCATGTGGAAGGACCGGAACCTGGACGTGGTGCGCAAGAAGCAGAAGGAAAAGAAGAAATTGGGCCTGAGATAGGGTCCGTGACAAGGCCCCCACTCCCACCTGGCCGGGCGCTGGCTCTTCCCTACACCTCTCTTTTTGGGAACCACCCCCTACCCAACTATCCACTCACCTGCTCCCCACCCAGTTTCAATAAATGTATGTTCATTTCCATCCTTGGCTTGGCCACAATGTGGAAGCACTGGGGAGTGGAGTGGAGGAGTGGTGGGGTCTCAGTGAGCATGTAGGGGTGCACAGATAAACTTCCCAAGCAATGCTTCACTTGAGCCATCCCACAGAGGAGGCAGAGTGCTCTCCCCCTCCTGTCAGACCCCGGCGCTAACGCCACCTAAGTTCTCACCAAGGTGCCGGGTCTCCTGGGCCCTGCCCTTCTGGGGCCCATAGTCTTCTCTGCATGCTTCCACCCAGCAGATTGGCTGAGGCCCCGGACAGTGCTGGGGTTACACAAGTCACCAGTTCTCTTTTGAGTCGGGTCCTTATCCATCTCGTGGTCCGTTGGCAGGAGGGGCATGTGGCCAGCCCGTGACAGCACTGAGTGCTAGAGGCTAAAGTGAGGAGCCCAGGGGGCCATCGGGCCCTGTGGAGGCATCGGAGCCCACCTAGGGGTCAGGTGGCTTCCTGGAGGCTCCATGGCCACAGTCATGACTCATTCTGTCGCTCCCATCTCTGTCTCTGCCAGTCTCACCCGCCACATCCCAGGCTGCTCTGCCAAACCCCAGCCAACTTGCTTTCTCCTACCGAGAATAGCGCTTACTGTTCACCCCTGAATGTCACTGTCTCTGGAGTTGGGGTGATGGAGAAATTGGTGATGCCTAGAGAGTGTGAGGGGCTTCAAAATCTGGGGGTGTGAGGGAATCCCATTAGCTTTTCATCTCATTTTTCCATGAACTTTTGGAAATGCTCTCTGGTATGACAACCCCACCCACCCCGTGAGCCCACCCTAGGTTTCCCAACTGGGAGTTTGCCTGCTTGCTCACCTACCCGCAGGGTAAAGGCTCAGACTCACCCCCCACCCCCTGCCACACCAACAGCAAGCCCGGGGAAGCTGAGAACCTTCACAGAAAGGCGCCTCAGGGTTTGCACCGGACAGGGTTGGCCCTGATTCTGGGACAGAGGCAGGAGGGCAAAGCTTTAGGAGAGAGGCTTCCAGGATGCGAATCCCCAAGGGACATGGCTGGTCATCAGGGCCCTTCACTGGGGGAGGCGAGTTGGGGAGTGCTTTGTGGAGGTGTCAGGGACGCTCAGTCAGACTTCCTGTGTTCCTGTCCTTCCCCCTTTACAGCCCTACTCTGACGTCACATTTTCCACTCTGGCCTGAGGGTCAGGCAGGTGAGGGCCTCCCTCCCCAGCAGGAAGTACCCTTCAGCCCCCCTCCCACCTGGGCTAGACCACCCAGCCCTAGGACCGTCATCCTCGCTGGCCCCACCCCCACCCATCACTAGCCTCCTGTCCCCAACCCCCTTCAATCACTGCTACTGAGAGGCAGGAAAGGAAAGAATGGAATCAGAGAGGACGGTCTTAAGTGTCCACAGGAGTTCTGAGAATGGGAAGAGCTGAAGGAGTAGAATGATGGGGCTACTAAGCACGGATGGAGAGAAGCCGCTGTGAGAACCAGTCAGAAAGAGTGCACCAAGAAGGGAGATGGGGCGAGGTGGGAACACTGGAAATGGGTGGCAAGTCCTCCCTGGAGTTGGTGGGCAACAGACTCCATTGGGAGACCCATGGGGGGGGGGGGGAGAGAGAGACAGATAAAGATACGCAGACAGGAAGGAGCCCTCTGATTCTCAGGCCAGACTGGAAAATGTGATGTCACAAGGGGGCAGTCACCGCGGAAAGATGGAAGAGGAAATTTGAAACCACTCTGGAGGCCCAGGACCTAGTGGCCTGGGAAGGTCAGGCTCAGGTTGGGCGGGGGGGACCAGTGATGCCTGAGGGGTCTGTGGACCCCCAACTCTGGATCCAGTCCTAGCAGCCCCCACCCACTGTGTCACCCTGGCAAGGGACTCCCTTGAAGCGCAGTTTCCCTTCTGTCAAAATGGACTATCCCTCGTTTGCCAGCGAAAGCTAGACATTGAATAGAGAAGGGGGCCTGACTGATGCCTTTGAACTGTAGAATTGATGTAAAATATTGAACATACCTCGGACATGCCAGGAGAGTGAGCAAATCTCTTTTGGAAGAAGATCGGCCGCTAAGCTCCTTCGAAGCAAGGATGGTGACACTTCATCTCCCATACTTTGGACATGTTTTCAGGAGGGACCGGTCCCTGGAGAAGGACATCATGCTCGGTAAAGTGGAAAGTCAACAAAAAAAACAAAAAGAAACCTTCAACAATAGACTCAAATAGACTCACACAGATTTTAAGGAGTTGCGGGACTGGGCAGCATGTTTGCTCCACTGTACCTGGGGTCCAACCAACTGGAAGGGATTTAGCAACAAACAACACGTGCTGTGCTCACTTCCCTCCCCCTTCTGACCTTCCACCCACTCACTCCCTTACCCCTTGACTTACAAGGGATTCTGGGAAAGGTGCTTAGCCGAGAAGCTGCCATTTGGGTGACTGTTAGTAAGATGAAATGAGAATGGCAAGTGGATAATGACTGAAAAAAAAAACCACTGCCATAGAATCCATTCTGACTCAGGACGGGGTAGAGCTGTCTGCCCCCATGGGTTTCTGAGCCTCATGTTTCTCAGAGCAGTTGGTGGTTTCAAACTGCTGACCTTGGTGTTTGCAGCCCAATATATAACCACTCCGCTTCCAGGGCTCCTTTCCTTAATGACTGAAGCTGGGTGAATAGTGAGAAAGGTCCACATAAATGATTACGTTATTTTTGATGAGATGATAACTATCATGTGCCTGCTAATCTCAAGGTTGGTGGTTCAAATCCACCAGCTATGCCACATGAAAAGATGAGGCTATCTGTTCCTGTAAGCCTGTATAGGGTTCCCTAGGAGTCAGAATTGACTCAGTGGCAGTGAGTTTGGTTTTAAAAGGAGCCCTGGTGGCATAGTGAGTTATGGGTCTGGCTGCTAAGCAAAGTCAGCAGTTCAAATTCACCAGCTGCCCTGCAGGAGAGCGGTGAGACTTTCTGGCGCCATAAAAATCTACAAACCAAGAAACCCATCACTGCTCTACTCTAGAGAGTGGCTAAGAGTCAGAATTGACTGGATGGCAGGGAGCTTGGATTTGGGGGGCTTGATGTTCTTAATGGAGCATGATGGATATATGCACAGATTCTGCAGCTAGATGGTCAGATTGAGAAAATAAAGGAACAGGACAACCAGTTATATTTGAATTTTGGATCGGGGGATAATTACTCAGTATAAGCCTGCCCTGAATCTCACATGCATGTATATGTTACATAGGCACTTCTCTTGTTTGTTTCGGAGGACATTAAAGTCAGCCCAGCAATTCCCTCTTGAGCAATTCCCTGTTCAGCTCCCAGTGGAAACCTCATTCTTATCTTAGCACCATCCGCAGCTCGGGAAAGCATGCGCTTGCAGATTCAGTCCGTGCTCACGTTTCTCCGATTGCCCCGACCTGTCGATTATAACGTGGCAGGACATAGGCTGCACGGTCAAAAAGCTGTAGGATCATGCTCCCGTCGTGGAAAGCTACCTAAATCAACTGGGACCAGAGATCCCATATGATCCAGCTCTACCTCTGCTGGGTCGCACCCCTAAAGAACTAACAGACATAACATGAACCTATTCACTTCCCTATTCATCGCGGCACTGTTCACAGCTGCACGGACCTGGACACAGCCCCAAAGCCATCAGCCGGCTTTGGTACATACACACAAGGGATTACTGTGCAGCATTGCTGAAAAACACTCATGAAACCAGAAAGCTTCTGACATCTCACCACACGGAGGGACCTGGGGAACATTATGCTGAGTGAAGTGTGTCAATCACTGAAGGGATAGATTGTGATTCTCTCACTCATCCCTCTCCCTACCCCTTCCCTCCTCTCTCCTTTGCCCACTGTCTCACCCTCTCTCTCTCACCACCTGCCCTCACTCACTCCCACACACTCATTCTCACTCTCCCTGGTGATTCATTCATGCTCATTCACTTATTCTCTCTCTCACTCACTCATTCACTCACTCTCATATGCACTCACACTGAAAAAAAAAAGGACAAATATTCTATGAGGCCACTGCTGGCAGGATAAAATCCAAGGTGAAGACTGCCTACCCATACCAGAGGGGACACACTTTGGAGGTTCCCAAGAAAGGGGGGGAGGGCGGGGATGAAGCAATGGACGAGAAGACTGACAGGTAGAGACCTGGGTGTAAAATAGGGTCGAGGTCCATGGGAGAAGAGAGATGGGTGGTTTGAACTGCTGAATGCAGAGTTGCCAGCCTGAAATGTAAACACCTCCCCTAATTCACAATTAATAGCGCCATGCAGGAGGAAGCCTGCCTTAATTCCTAGCTCCCTGAAAAGCTGATAAGAGATAAGAACAGCCATGACCTCTTGCAAGCCCAAAATGAGAGCGCACAGCACATGGAATGCAAAGGCAGGAGCCCCCAATAAAATGCTGGCTATTATGAGTGCTGCTATCATTGTTTATATTGTCCATGCGATTTTGATCCCCGAGCGAGCAGCTACAGAGCACCCCCCCTAACGCCCTTGGAAGGGGGAGCTCCATTTGATGGGGCTTCCTAGGTGGGCATCTCTCCACCCCACCCCATCCATATCACCCCTGCAGCTGTGACGTCATGGACAGGCAGTGTGGAAGGGTGAATGGCCGGAAATCCCACTTCCTGTTGTAGATAAGCTTTAGCAAAGCCCAGCAGATCCCAGACCTTCGCCGCACCCCCCCCCCACCATGGTGCACAATCAAGTCCCCCAAATCTGTACACGAAGCTCTCCTTCTCCACCCCGCCCCCACCGCTCTCCCTCCATCACCTCATACAGTCCTGTCTCCTACCCCCCATCCCACCCCCCACCCCCAATCTGCTAGTCTCTAAATGGACCGAGTTCAGACCCAAGCTGCCCCAACTGCAGCCACAATCCCTGAGGCTGGGGGGCGTGTGGCTCAGCCCTGCCCCCGCCTCTGCAACTCGACCCCACAACTCCCAGCTCTGACGTCTTGGAAAATTGCCCCCTGCAGAGCCCAAGGGGAGGGGGGGGTGGGCATGGTATGAAATGGGGTTGAGACCCCTGGCTGGGGGCAGAGAGACCTGGCAGAGGTAAGAACAGAACTGGCTCTTTGGGTGAAGAAGTGTCTGGGGTCCTGACACTGGGTCTGAGGGGGAGAAGGACTGAGGGGCAAGACTCTGGGATCCTAGGGAAGTGGGGAGCAGGGGTCTGCAGGGTCCCGAAGGTCCCCAGCTCACCCATTGCCCTTTCAGATTTTCCAGGCCCAAGGCATTCAGAACGGACATCCATGGATTTGTGGAATTGGGATGAAGCATTGCCACAGGAAGTGCCTATGGGGAACAGGCTCTGCTCCCAGCAGGGTAGGATAGTGGGGCTGGAAGGGTGGGGAGGGTGCCCAGGTAGGTGCCTCTGCTGACCCCTGAACGGACCCTAACCACCTTGTTGCTGGCAGGCGGAGCCGAGCTGGGCTTCTACTTCCCTGAAACGGCACCCCAAGGGGACATGCTGACTGCGGACCCGTGCTGGAAAGGTGACAGCAGGCTGCCGCCTCTGGGGAAGGAAGGGCTGGGCTCCTGGGTCTCGGAAGGGAGGAGAGAGGGTCCTACAGTCCTAGGCCAGGTCTGAGTGAGGAGGGGTGGACAGACAGTGCCTGAGGAATAGACTACTAGGTGGGTGGGTCGTTGAGGGGGTCTCAAATCATTATCCATACCCTTCCCTAAACTCACAGGGCACCCGCAGTTGGACTGGGGCTCCACCTGGCCGCACCCAGAGGCTTCCTGGGGAACCGGTGAGTGTGTGCGGGGAACTGGGAGCCCTGCAGCACCCCGGATCGCTGAAGGGAAACTAGCTAGGGCTGGTGACAGCCGGGTCCTCAACGTGGCACAACCTGGATCCAGGGACCGGAGGCTCAGGGCCTGAGGGCTTAGACCCGAGAGCATCCGAGGGGGCTGAGCGCCGGGACCCCGCACGGCACTCAGGGTCCCTTCCTCTTCCCAGAGCCCGCCCCTCAGGCCCTGCTGTGGCCGGGAGACTGGACGGACTTTGCCTCGGACCCGTGGAGTGCCCCTTCCCAAGCCCCAGGCCCAGTCGGCCCCGGCTTGGGCCCCGCTGCCTTCGCCGGCCCTGAAGGGGTGGGGGGTGTGCACTGCACCCCCAGCACGGCAGGGGCCCCAGCGTGGCCGCCGGCTCCAGCCGCTGGGAGGGTCGCCAGCTGGGACTGCTCGTGCGGCGCCTCCCGCGGAGGCCCGGGCCCTGGCGGCGCAGTGCCCAGTGCGGACAGCACCCCGGCTGCGGGCGAGCTGGTGGGCTTGGCTTGTTGCACCTCCACGGCCGCCTCCCCAGCCAAGCACGAGCAGACTTCAGATCGCACCAGGCCCTCGGAGCCCAGTCAGCGGGCGGACCGGCCCCCTTTGACTTGCCACCCCCAAAGTAACCCCCGAGGTGAGGGTCCCCTGGGACGGAGTCAGAGGAGGGGCCTAACTGGAGCGCTGGGACCTTAAGGGGGCGGGGGAGGGGGGGGGTTACCCGGGCGCTGTCCGGGGTTGCAGCTGACAAAGCTGGCTGGGGGACACGCAGGTGGGGGCCCCGCAGGCTACCTGGACGCCCGGCTCTCCCACGTAAACCAACTCCATTGCCATCTGGCCCACTCCGAGTCCCGGCGACCCTGTGAGACAGAGGAGCACTGCTCCCTCGGGTTTCCAAGACTGTCGGCCTTTATCGGAGCCGACTCCTTTCCTTTCTCCCGGGGGCTGGTGCGTTTGGACACTCACCGTGTGGTAGCAAGCCAAAGTTAACACGGCGCCACTCCAAAAAATGATGTGACCCCACTGCCATCGAGTCGATTCCGGCTCATCAGGACGCTATAGGTTAGGGTAAAACTGCCCCTGTGGGTTACTGAGACTGTAACTCTTTATGGCGTACAAAGCCTCGTTTGCCTCCCACGGAGGGGCTGGTGTTTTCGAACTGCTGACCTTGGGGTTCGTGCAACCCACTATGCGGCCAGGGCTCTTCACAGCGCCACTAGGGCTCCCGATCTCCAGGTGTGGAGGCTAAACTCCTCGATCCCCAAGATGGGAATGTGGGGCAGGGTCTGAATGCCTGAGTTTCTAAGGCAGGCTCTCAAACCTCCCATTGTTTAGATATACATGTATATATACATATACATACATGTGATATATACATTATATATCTACATTATATATACACTACATTACATATAAACATTATATATATAAAATGACTCTTGCTAGATCAAGAGACTCTAGCTCTGCGTATAGATGTGTGTTCGTGTGTTGAGAGAACACCTGGCCACGTTCTGGGGCGTCCGAGCGGTGTCCCCTGGGGCCGGAGGCCTGAGTGTCCCCTTGCCTCCGTGTCGCAGGTCCCATTCAGCTGTGGCAGTTCCTGCTGGAGCTGCTCCGGGACGGCGCGCGGACCAGCTGCATCCGTTGGACAGGCAACAACCGCGAGTTCCAGCTGTGCGACCCCAAAGAGGTGGGGCCGCCCCCCAGCCCCGCGGGGCTATAACCCCGCCCTAGTTTCCTCCGGCTTTCTCCCGCTCACCGGCCGCCCCGCCACCTTCAGGCCCCCGGCTGAGCCGGGCTGCGGCTGCGTCATCCTTCTCGCCCCGCTGGGAGGACCGTTACCTGTGGGCCCCGCCCGGCCGGCGTCCAGCCCTCTCCTGCTGTGTCCGCTGCAGGTGGCGCGGCTGTGGGGGGAGCGCAAGAGGAAGCCGGGGATGAACTACGAGAAGCTGAGCCGGGGTCTGCGCTACTACTACCGCCGCGACATCGTCCTTAAGAGCGGAGGGCGCAAGTACACGTACCGCTTCGGGGGTCGCGTGCCGGGCCTTGCCTAGCTGCACCGCGCAGGTGGAGACCGGCAGCCATAACCCAATAAACATGTCCCGTCACTGTATGTGTTGGTCTGTGTCCTTTCCACTGGTGCTGGGGAGCCTGCGTGGGCATCGCACCGTCCCCTTGGGTGCTAAGGCATTCTGAGACACCACCGATCTGTGGGCCCACGGGATGCGGGATGCGGCGTGCAAAGGAATCAGATTCGTCAGTCCCCTCGGCCTCCTGGGCCTGCCCTGTGTTGGTGCACTAGTTTGTGAGTTTACCTGCCCTGTCGCCCTTGATGATGACCCAGAGGTCTTAGCTGAGACCAGAAACCAGGGGGAGGATTCTAGACTGGGGAGGGGTCTGATCTGTTTCAGGTGTTAAGGGATCCTGTAAAAAAAATACCACTGCCATAGAGTCAATTTTGACTCCTAGGGAGTCATCACAGATGGGGTAGTATAGAACTGGTCTCTAGGGTTTCCGAGCTATAATCTTGACAGGAGGAGAAAGCCTCTTCTCTGGCCCAAGGAGTGGCTGGTGGGCTCCAACCACCGACTGTACAGTCAGTAGCCCAGGGCTTAAACCACCATGCCATCTGGGCTCCTTGAAATTCTCTGATAAAAACAAAACAAACTCACTGTCCTCAAGTCAATTCCAACTTATAGCGAGCCTATAGGACATAGTAGAATTACCCCTGTAGGTTTCTGAGATTGTAAATATTTATGGAAGTAGAAAGCCTCATTTTTCTCCCACGGAGCACGTGGTTTCAAACTGCTGACCTTGGAGTCCACCCAGGAATTCATTTACCTCTTAGGTACCCTCTGCAGTTCTCTAGGGGGGGTGCCAAATCAGTTTAGTGCTTGGTGCTTTGTTTCCAGGGCTTGTCCATCGTCCAGGAAGTGGCTACTATATATAACCTTTCAGATTGAAGGTGATAGTGGCTTAAACCAGATATGATGGGAGATTCTGGATGGAATTTTTTTAAGGCCGAGATAACACTTTGCAGACCCAAACCTTAGTTTTAATCTCTTCTCACTGTAATTGTGATTTCTCAGTCCCCCAAGTCTTTATCCATTTGTGCCTTCTGAAGTTAGGAAACTTCAGGATGATGAGCAGGGAGGTGGAGTCTGGGTCAAAACATGATGAGTGACCCCGGGAGAGAATTTGTTTTTGTTTCCAGACGAATCATAACGAAGGTAGATGTTTTTGTGCTCTGTTGATTCCCAACCCTTACAGAGAGGCCTAGCATTCTGGTAAAAGCCAAACAAACAAAAAAAAAGCCAAACTCATCGCCAGTGAGTCGATTACGACTAAGGCAGCTCTATATAGAGCAGGGTAAAAGCGCCACGGTGGGTGTCCGAGACTGTCACTCTCTTTAAAAAAATTAATTATATTACTGGAATTTATTATAATTAACATTTATTATTATTAACGTAAATGGATTATCGCATGGTTGACCCTATACGTTGTTACTTTATTATTATTTTTTTAATTCTTGGGATCTATTTATTTATTTTTAATCATTTTACTGGGGCTCATACAATTCATCACAATACATAGATCAATTGTGTAACGCACAGCTATACATTTGTTGCCCTCATCATTCCCAAAATTCGCTTTCCTCTTGGGTTCCCGGAATCAGCTCATTTTCCTTTCCCCCCACCTTCTCCCTCCCTCCCCTACTCTATTTTTTTTAAATCATTTTATTAGGGGCTCATACAACTCTTACGACAATCCAGTGCCTCATCTTTCTCCCGCAGAGCGACTGATGGTTTCGAACTGAGGATACCAGCCTAACGTGGAACCCTTACGCCACCAGGGCTCCAATAGGAGGCCTGCGTTCTGTGAGTGGGCGGAGCCAAAGTGACTTCCGGACACGGCCTCCCGCGAGACGCTCTAGCCGCGCGGAGGACTCCTCGGTACTTTTCCCCGCTCGGCTTCCGGCCGCTCCTGATTCCGCTTCCGGTCCGTCGCGGGCGTCTCGTCTGAGGGTCACATTGAGCTACCTGCGTTTTGAGGGGGCGCTTTAGGTGAGTCTGGCGGGCACGGGAACCTAGCACCCCAGGCCGCAGGGTAGGAAATCGGATCCCGGCTTTTCCCAGAACAGAGTGGGGCTTCCGGCCGGTGACCTCGAGTCTCCCTGGGAGGCTGGGGCCGTTAATACTGTCGCTAACGATTAGGTAGTGCTTATTTAAAATGCCGGGCAGCGTTGTGAGCCCCTTGCTCATAAGAATCCATTTAGTCCGTCTTCCACCCTTGTGAGGGCGACACCGCTTGTTGACAGCGAGGAGGCGGGCTCAGAGATGGTCAGCGACATGCCCGGGTCACACAGCAGTCGGGCTTTGAACCTCGTAGTTGGGATCGCCAGGCCGAGGCTTGACCTCCCAGGGCTTGCCTGGACGGCAGCATGGCTCGCCGGTCTCGGCCCCCTTGGACGTTGGAAGAACCGCAGCGTCACCCTGAAACATACTTCGCCCCCCCGCCCCCCCCCTGCGGTCTGTGCCCTGTTGCCTAGGGTTTTAATCCCTCCCCTCCCCACCATCTCCCAGAAGGACCCCTGGGGCTTCCGGACCCCTCGCCCCCACCCCCACCCGTCCTTTGTGCCCCTTGAATTGACCCCTGGCCGTGCACCTCTTGATTAACCCCTGCTTCCCCTGTTCTATTTCAGAGGCAGTTTCTCACCGATTTGCCAATGCGGAAATGGCTTTGAATCTTTCTTTTTGGGGGTGGAGAGGGGGAGGGTGCGCTTAACAGCTCTTAGCACATTCCGTACATCAATTGAATCAAGCATATTTGTACATAGGTTGCCATCATCATTTCCAAAACATTTTCGACTTGAGCCCTTGGTGTAAACTTTTTCCCCTCCCTCTCCCACCCCCGTGTATCCTTGATCAATTATATTGTTACTACACTGTCTATTGTCTCCCTTTACCCACATTTGTTATTCAGTCTGGGGGTGGGGGGAGGGGCATCCAATCTTGTGATGGATTCCCCCTTTCTCACCCTTCCTCCTCCCTGACCATCCCCCACCCTCATGATATTGCTGCTCCCCTTTACTGCTCCTGATGGAGTGATCTTTCCTGAATTCCATATGGCTTTGAATCTTTTGAGACGTATATTTCAGAAGACATTATAACCCAGATTCACAGTCTAGAATTCAAGGGATTTGAAGTAGTTGAATGGGGGAGGGGGGAAGGATTATATCTTTTTTTTTTTTTTTAAGGAACATTTGACTGAAATACAGCATTTCCTTCCGTTGGAATGGAGGTAGCAACCTCCGTGGTTCTGGCAGCCGGTGTAATGTGAGCTCCAGTCAGCATCACAGATGTTCTGTCTTCCCTGCAGGTGCCAATGTCACAGTTTGCCTCGGCCCCATGATTACCGTATATACGCTGGTATAAGCCGAGTTTTTCAACACATTTTTTAATGCAGTTTTTGTGATCACATTAGGTGTCTCGTCTGATATTTGGGTCGGCTTATACTCAAGTGTATATGGTGCATCAAAACTGGTAGTGAATCCCCATCAAGGTTAGAACTGGTGTCCTTTGTGATTGGAAAGTGCATTCCCAAATCCATGTACGTGGACTCTGAGCAAAAGATTGTGTGGGATTCATCAGACCCCCGAAGGGTTTTTGACACCGTAAAAATGAAGAACCATGGCAGTCTAGGTAGCATAGTAGGTGAGCAATTGGCTGCTAAGTTCAAGGTTGGCTTCTTGAAGCTTTGGAAACTATAGGGCAGGTCTGCTCCCTCCTGTGGGGTCTGTGAATCAGAACCGGCTTCAGTGGGTTTGGTTTGAGACAACCTGGGTTATGCTGCCCATTTTTATGCAGTTTTTGTGATCACAGCATCCCATCACTGTGTGCTCTGTGACCCTAGGAAGTCCCTAAAGTACACTCTTCCCTTATCTCTGAAATGGCAACAGTTTCCACCTTAGAGAGCCGCTCTCGGGAGTAAAGCGTAGAAGGGCACCAGCCATGTGGTGAGCCGTGTGTGATTTTTGGCACCAGGCTTGGTTTGGCTAAGGAGTTGCCCCGACCCTGGCATGCTTTCCACACCCAGTTGTGTGGATTTGCTCTGTCTCCTGCCCGCTCCTGGAGCTCTGGTGCTATGGTGGGTTTACGCATTGAGTGCTGGCCATCAGGTCAGCCATTGAAAGCGGTAGCTGCCCCACAGGAGAGAGATGAGGCTGTCTGCTCCCGCAAAGATACTAATGCTCAGAAACCCCCAGGCTTGCTATGACCTGGTCATGGTGAATTCGGTTTGTATTTTTCTGCCTAGTCTGTGTCTGGCTCCGTGTGGGCTGACAGCCCCATGCTTAGGCACACCCAAAACCCTTACCAGTACCCACCCTCTTTCCTCCAGGAATCACCACCATGGCAGAAGACATCAAGACCAAAATCAAGAACTACCGAACTGCTCCTTTTGACAGCCGCTTCCCCAACCAGAACCAGACCAGGAACTGCTGGCAGAACTACTTGGGTGAGCCCGGCAGGCCGGTGGGAGGGCACAGTTCTTTCTCTGCCTTGGGCTTAAAGTAACTCATCCCCTTCCCATGCCCCTCCCTGGGTCCCCTCGTATCACTGCATCCTAACGCGGTCCTAGCTCCGCTACACCCTGCAGATCGACTGTCCCTCATCACCGGCTGGATCTCAGGCCAGCCAGGATGGTGAACTTGGATTGTTTTGATGCTTGAGGGGCCTGTGAGTGGGCATCTCCCTCGTGTTGATTGTTCACCATCTAGGCTTACATGGCAGTTGGCCGAAAGCTGAGCCATGAGGGTGAGTTCCCTTCCAGGCATGAAGGGTGCCGAAGGGTTCCACTGGTGTCTGTCAGGCCAGTCAGCTGGTCGTTTTTGTAATTTTGAGTTTCATTCCACATTTAGCTCCCACTTGATCCAGGACCTTCTGTTGCGCTCCCTTTCAGAGCAGTCAGCTGTGTGGTAGCCTGGCACCACCTAGGTCAGGGTGCTGGGGGCTGGATTTCGTGGTCCCTGAGTCCCTCAGACTGTGTGTTTCTTGGATCTTCTTCACCACGTTGGTTTCTTCAGAATCTACTGAAGGGCAACCGGTGTGGTTTTTGAGGCCTGTGAACGTAGTGTAATATGCAAAGAGACTTCAAAAAAGTTGATGGGGACATTTTTTGTACCCCCAGAGTCCCTGCCACTACCCACCCCTTTGTACATTGCTTTCCATTCCATTTCCCCTGAGGTTTTGGAAGCCCTCTCCTGTGTACAGGATGCGCAAGAAATGTGGAATGTCACACGCAGCAAAATGCTGCCTTCTAAAGGGCGCTGGTGCAGCCATGACTAAGAATGCGCTGTTGCCAGCACTCCCCACCACAGCCGCCACCCCTGCTGCCCACTGCGTGCCCTGTCTTGACCACAACCCCTTGCGCTCCCCTCCAGAAGTAGAATCCCTACGAATAGGACTCGAGTGTTTGGTTTTATCATAGTCTGAAAATGTCATCTTGGTGAGCTTTTTGAAGACTGCCTGTAGTCTTTATGTGAGGAGTTCTGTAGTCACGTGTTGAAGCTCTTTCCATGCTGTGGCCGGTCAGTCGTTGGCCCTTGTGCTGTCTTATTTATCCCACAGGCTGGCTGTTCTGTCCTGGGCTGGACGCCGTGTGAAAGCCCCACACATGTCGTCTGAAGCCGTGTGTAGGATGTGCTCAGTAGTGGAATGCCCTAAGCCATTCCTTACATTAGCACCATCTTCTCCCCATCCTACTTCTGGACTGCCATCATCCCCATAAACGCCCCTCCTACTTCCCTGTCATCCCTACCTCTGAATTCTCCACCTGGCCTGCAGGTCTCAGACCAAAAGCAACCCCTGCCATGGAGATGGTGCCAACTCATGGCAGCCTGTCCATTCCACAGCAGGACTGCCCGTTCGGTGGCTTCTGGGTCGATTCAAATCACCAACTTTTCCGTTTGTAGCCACTTGCTGAACAGTGTGTGCCACCCGGAGACATGAGATCCTCCAGAATGCACTGCCACCGAGTCAGTGGCTGCTCGTAGCGCTCCTGTGGAAGAGAGGAGAGCTGCTCCTTTGCTTTTCTGAAGTGCTAGTTCTCCACGGGAGCAGCCAGCCGCCTCCTCTCCCGCGAGCAGCTGCTGGGTTTGAAGTGCTCCCCTGGCAGTTAACAGCCCATCTCTTTGTCCCTATACCGTCAGGCAGTTCTCCAGTGAGTCGCCAAGTCAATGTATTGAGTGCTGACCCATCTCTGAGTGCACTTGTGAGGCCGTGCCTTTTTGTTAAAAACGTCTATGCAGGGCTTCACACGCGTTCATAGGAAAGTAGGAGTAAAAGGTGATGGCGTTTTCTCATGAACTTTCTGTACCTGCATGCAGCCCTACAACTGATCAGAAGATGAGAAGTCGGTCTCACGGGCGGTGGGGGGAGTCCTGGGCTGACTGACCCCTTTCTTCCCAGACTTCCACCGCTGTGAGAAGGCGATGAATGCCAAAGGGGGCGACGTCTCCGTGTGTCAGTGGTATCAGCGTGTGTACAAGTCCCTCTGCCCCGTTTCCTGGGTATGTATCCTGCTGGCGTCTGAGCGGGGGCTGAAGGAAAGGAGGCCAGGCTGTCTCAGGCCTAGGCTTGCTTCCCTTCCCTCCTCTCTCTGCTCTGGCACTCGGCCGGTGCTACTTTGCCAAGGACTCCAGGGGCACCTTGCTGCGTGGCTGTGCAGATACCCCCTGGGGACCAGGAACCTGCCCCCGTGGGCCTCATCAGCTTGGGCCATCCTGCCCTTTCGCACCGGGCACATTTTCAGAGTAAAAGTAACGTTTCCAGTGCCCATCTCCCCGGTGCCTCCACCTGTCCCTTCCCTCTCATCTTTGTGTCGCTGCAGCCAACCCCACGGTGTCCTCCGCCTCTGTAAAGCAGGCACCTGCCAGGTGCGCGCTTTGTTTTTGGAAGTGAAGACGCTTTCCTTGCCTTGCTTTGTTTTTTTTTAATAGTTTCTGCTTAACAGGACCAGGTTTTATGAAATCCAAGGCCCCCACTGACTGCCAGACTTACTGAGAGGCATGAGCATCTGTGTTCTTGCGTTTGCACGTAGCGGGCATGCTGACTTCACAGATGTGAACGTTCACACTCGAGTTCTTAGACTCGAACTCCGATCTCCTTACAAAAGGGATCGCGCAGTCCAAATGGGAGCAGCACGGTAGAATCCGAGCGAAAGTGCCCTGTGCTTCCCGCCTCCCTCTCTGGGGTCAGAGAAGCCCTTTTTCTGGGTGTGTTCATCACACGTAAGCCTGTCAGAGGTTCATGCTGTCTAGTTTGTGTTTCCGCTTGCCTCTGCCTGTCGCCCTGCCCTTGTTACCGACTGCATAGTTTTAAAACCCAGACCCTTCACCTTTGCGTCGATTTCAACTTAGAGCAACCCTGTAGAGGGTTTCTGAGGCTGTAAATCTCTCTCTCTCAGAACAGCTCGTGCTAGCCTTGCAATTGCAACATAATGCCTAAACCACAGTGCCACTAGGGCGCCTTTCAATGGCTTATAGGTGTCTTATTTAATTGGCCCCTGTGGATGGTTATACTGTTCTACTTCCCTGTTTCAGCATTTTTGATAGACACATGTGGCTTGTTTCTCTAGAACAAAGAGGCACGCTTCTCCTAGACTCTTGGTTTTTCTCTCGCATCTCTGGCCATGCTGTCTCGAATGTCTCTTGAGAGCCCTCTGCTGACCAGAACTTCTCCTTGTCCCTGAGTGGTTGCGGGTCACCTCAAGTGACCCCCACAGCATCTGTCCTCCAGCTATAGGCTTGAGTTCAAGCCATGACGTTGGCTTTGGGCCGGACTGGGTGCCAGGCCGCATGCTCCTGCTCCCAGTCCGTAACGGCCTGCCCTTTTTTGAATGGAGCATCAGCTTGTGTGGCTCTTCCACCCAAGTGCCCGCCCTGCCCTGCTAGCACTAGATTTAAAGTGCAGCCGGCCCCTTCTACCCAGCAACCCAGCTTCTTTCTTCCAGAAACTTGGTGTAAGTAAACGCATGTGTTTCTGTTGTTGGTTGTTTATAAGCAATATGAAGGTAAGGAAACATTGTTACAAACCCATAGAAGCCTTCTTTGAAAACCGTCAACCCCGTGAAGCCCTCCACCTAGGGCTGTCCTAGTGTACGCTGGACCGTCACGTGGTTTTCAGGCATGCACAGTGAGGCTGCACTGCGAAAAAGGAAGCTGGAAGAGGAATTGACGCCTTTGAAGCCTGCTGTGGGTGAAGCATGGACGGCCAGCGACAAGGCCAGTGGTCCAGCCGCTCCTCCTCGGGAGAAGGCGAGACTGCCTGCTCGCATTAGGGTTCAGTCTCCACACTGCACAGAGTCGCTATGAGCTGCAGTCAACTCGATGGCAGTGGGTTTGTTTTAGTAGATTTGCCAAAAGAACAAACCAGTTCTGCCAACAGAACGCTCCGTAGAAGCAAAGGTGCCAACACTTCTTCTCACGTACTTTGGACATGTTATCAGGAGGTTCAATCCCTGGAAAAAAGCAAGGTGGAGGGTCAGTCAGCATAGAAGACCCTCAGCGCATGGGTTGCTGTAGTGACTGCAACAGCGGACGCAAGCGTGGCCGTTGTGGTGGCGCAGGGCCAGCAGTGTTCTGTGTTGTTGTTGAGAGGGTCACCGTGAGCGGGTGCTAACTCAGTGCTGTCCAACAACAAACAGCCCAACAGGTCACTACTCTTCCCGGATGGGTTTCTATCGCTCCAAGTCTGTGCGCTCTAATTCACACCACGGCCCCATAGCATGGAGCTACTGAGTGCTGTTGAGACGGTTGTGACCAATGACGACCCGCAGTAAAACAGCAAAAGGCTGCCCAGCCCTGTGCCATCCGGGTTGAGCCAGAGTCGTCTCTCTCAGGGAAGATCTTCATCTTTCCCACCAACCCTCTCACTGTACCAAGAATGATGGTTGTCTTCAGGGACTGGTCCCTCCTGAAAACACTTCATTCATTCATTCATTTATTATTTTTAAAACATGTCTTTTAAAGTGAACCCTGCCCTGTGGGAAGGGCCACAAGGGTCGAAGTGCTATTATTTCTGGGAAGGATTAGCCTTTTGCTATGTGCCTGTCTTTCTCTTTTTTTAATATTTATCTGTGGTGCACTATAAAACGGTAGTCCGTACCTTTTTGCAGTGACTATCATGGGGAGAGAGCCCCTCGTGTTCCTCACCGCTGCAGGCCACAGCCACCCTCTGTGTGCTCTGAGCAGTCACAGACCTTCTGGGGACAGCCTGCCATGAGGCAGGGATTTTTCCAGTTGAGGGTGTCAGCTGATCGAGCTCCCCCACTCCTGGAACAGTGGCTGGCACGTCATAGGTGCCTGCGGTAGCTTGTTGACTGACTGGCTGACTGCCTGGGGCACGTCAGGCAATGAATTCTACCCATCTGGTTTCCCTGCAGCCGAAGGGAGTGATGCTGTCTGTCTTTCCACAGGTGTCGGCCTGGGATGACCGCCGGGCAGAAGGCACATTTCCTGGGAAGATCTGAATTGGCCCTCGCTTCTCTCTTGGGATCCTGACTCTTGACTTAATTAATAATAAAAACTCACTGAACACGTGTAAGAACCGTGTGTGTGCATGTGTGTGCGCGCGCATGTAAAACACCTAGATAGTTGGGCACAAAAACACCACAGTGGAAGGGAAGTGCCCAGATTCCCGGACCAGCAAGAGGGGCCTCAGAGCAATGATCGTTTCTATTGGTGCATTTTGAATTGCTTTTCAGACTCTGACCGCCTCCCATTGGCCAGGCACTCGGTCAAGTGGGTGATGGACAGGATGGTCTCTAGGTGCTAACCCTTCGCTGTCCTTCCCCTTGTTTTGTACACACATTTTATTTATGTACTTAGCTTCCCCTCCCCCTCGAGGTAACTTAACAATTAGTACACTGTTCAGTGTCATGGCTAGTTTTTCATGTGCGCATTCTCACTGATTCCATGCTGGATGTTCAATTAGTAGTTTTAGGCCCTTGGGTAGTTTTGTGGGTGTGACTCAACACCCGTATAATATAGATAAAGTAGTCCCCGATGACGAATGCATTCCACTCCCAGCTCTGCCCTTACGTAGAATTTGTATGTAAATCAGGACACTTGGGTACAGTATCTAACTACCTAACTGGCGAGGTAAGCATTGAGCTGGTAAATACGTTAGCGGTTTGTTTCTACCAACTGCTACAATTTACCAATTGTCTACTCTAAGTACAGATTTAGTCTCAGAAACCCAGAGGGGCAGTCTTACTGTGTCCTGAAGGGTCACTGTGAGTCAGGAATCAAATTGATGACACTGAGTTGGTTTTGTTCCCTGTGCATCAAAAGCATTCAGTGAGCACTTTCAGGCGTACTGAAGCATCTTAACATCATACGGCCATAGGACGAGCATTGCAAAGTAGCACTCATTTGTCACTGCAAACTAGTGTCCACCTCAGGGTTTTAATGTGTGCTTTATAGGCTTTGCCAAGGCTGGGGCCATGGATGTATAGATGTGGGCCAAGCACATTGTGTGGTACCTGACTAGATAATGTTTTAAAAAGTGTGCAGTACTCACAGGTGATAACTCGTGAAGACCAGTACACTTGCTAAAAGATGGCTTTGAGATCAGTTCAAGGTCTGAAGGGTATCTGTGGGCAGTAGTCACAGCCCAGTACCCCTGGACTTGAGCTTGAGTTCTGTTTCGCTGCCATTCTGTGAGAAACCCTGATGATGAGAATGGGCATTAGTGGCAGTTGGGGGCACCATCTAGTACTTTCAGTTCCAGGGTAGATGATAAGGCTGTGGTCCCTGTAGATGATCAGTTCCCAAAAAACAAACTACTTCGTGCCTCCCCCTGTGTTGAAAAGTTTGTATTCTAACCCATAACTGGTTAAAGTATAATTGTTACCTGCTTTCTTAGTGCCCCCACCCCGGATTGCTCCACTGCCCCCCAGGGGATGGTATTACCCACTTTGGGGAACACTGGCGTAGAAAACCCAGTCGACGTCTTCCGAGTTTTTCATTTCCTTTTCTCTTTCAACTCTACTTTTAAAACTCCTGATTCCTAGTGATCTTAAGCGTGTGTGCTCCATGAATGTTTCAGGACAGATTGCCAGGGCGGGGTGGGCTGAGACTGCCAACTTTTTGGTAGTTGAGTGCTTAACTGTACTACACGTTATTACATCTAGACAATTAAATCCTTAATGCCGGCTAATAAGCCATCCTCTGCACAACCTACAGTTTTTCACTCTGTTCCAGACCTCCTTCAGCCAGGTAATTGGAAGTCCTTTAACTTCTCAAGTGGAGCCCCAGTGGCGTTACATGTTGGGCTGCGATCCACACGGTTAGCAGTTCAAAACCACCAGCAGTTCCGAGGAAGAGCGACTGGGCTTGCTACACCTGTAAACAGTTACAGTCTCAAACCACAGGGGTCGCCACAAGTCAGCATTGACTCAATGGCAGCGAGTTTGCTTTGTTACTAACTACTCAGAGCTAAATTGAGAGAGAGTCTTTCAAAAGTGACCCAAAAAATCTACCGAACTTGTCAACAAAGACCCCTGAGAGAGAAAGACCAGCCGGAATACCATCTACGGCAGAATCAATGTGTTCTCAAGACTGCTCAAGTAGTTGTGTGACAAACATCTCTGAAGCATGTTCAGCTAAAGCAGTGGTTCTCAACCTGTGGGTCGTGACCCCTTTGGGCATCGAATGACCCTTTCATAGGGCTCGCCTGATTCATCACAGTAGCAAAATGACAGTTATGAGGCAGCAACGGAAATAATTTTATGGTTGGGGGTCACTACCACCTGAGGAACTGTATGAAAGGGCTGTGGCATCAGGAAGGTTGAGAACCATTGCTCTAAAGAGAGCAACTCATGAATTGGAATCCAGCCCTAAGGAAGGATGGGAAGTGGCTGCTGGTGAGGTGGCTGTACACAGGACCCGAGTGCGTGCACAGGAGCGCTGAGAGACCACAGAGTGATGGCATGCATCAGGAAATGGCAAAGAACCTTCAACAAAGTTTCCAGTGATACAGAAGGACGTCCAGAGGAAAATCAAGGCTCAGAACTTCCCCTGATCTGGTTGGCTCCGTTCTCTTAGTTTCCTGTGTATTCCACTGGAGAAAGCCCATACATCTAGAAGCGTCCATGCTCCAGCATTCTGTATATCTTTTTATTTGATAAATATTTCATCGAGCCTTCCGGCTTCCTCTCCGATCTATTTTTTATTTGCTTGCACACTTGCTCCTCAGTTGGGCAGGAGTCGTGTGACCCAACGAGAACTTTCTAGAACATACCAGGCTGCCTCCAAGCTTGCTGTGTCCTATAGGGTTTTCAGTGGCGGGGCTTTAGTCAGATCCCCTAGCCTGCCTTCTGGCCCCTCTTGGGGGTGAAGTTGCTGGTCTTTGGGTTAGCAACGGGGTGGGTGAACCACATGCACCGCCCCGTAGCTAGGCGGTGTGTGGTGCCCAGTAGGACGGGGCGACTAAAGATGCTCACATCCCTCTGTTGGGTCCATCCCCCCCTCCCCCCGCCCTCCACAGCCTTAGAACAGGGGCCACTGTGCCTCAGAGTCCCTTGCCTCGGCTGACTGAGCTAGCAATGTTCACATAACTCAAAGCCGGATAATCAAACTGTCAACGAAACTAGATTTGAGTTAGGACACAGGAAGTGGTCAGGCAGTTGTGGGAAGCTGAGGTAAATAGCCATGGCCATTTGGGGTCAGCTGGGAAAGACTGAGCTGAGCTGAGCTCAGTCGGAAAGTCAAGGAGAGACTGAAGCGGCATGCTGAGCTCAGCAGAAGGTGGGAGGGAGAGAAGGCACTGGTGGTTCAGGTGTAAAATTCCCCCTACCTTGTAGCAAACCTGGATTCAATTCCTCAGCCACGTGCCTTATGTGCAGAGACTTCAAATGTCAGTGGCCGTTTCCAGACTCAGACGGACTAGGAATAAAGGCCTGACCAGTTACTTCCCAAAATCAGCCATCGGAAATTCGGCGGATACAATGGTCCAACCTCCCAACTATTTATGGGGATGGCATCCGACTGAGTAGCGTTTGATGGTGGGTGGGGCGGCCATGAGTTGGGGGTCTACTTGAAGGAAGCTGCCTACAGGGCCAGAGAAGTCGAAAAAGGGAGGGAAACACTGCTGGTGATCGTCTTGCATTTTACTCTGGTGAAATTTGACTCCATTGTTCTAGTCAAATTTTTCTCCACTTGTGGTTGGGTTCAAGATCTCTGGTCTCATAGTAGGCTACACATTGACCTGTGAAACACCAGGTCAGTGGTTCAAACCCACCAGTCGCTCTTCAGGAGAAAAATGAGGCTGTCTGCTCCTGGAATTATTTAGAAGTCTGAAACCCCTGGGGCCAGTTCTACTCTGTCCTATAGGGTGAGTGCAGGCGGTGGTGCTTCTGAGAGAGAAGGGTGAGGTCAGAGAGAGAATACTTTGGGGCCTGGGTCAGAACAGAACACTGAAATCGGTGCCGAGGCAAGGTGACAAAGAGGCACCAAGACAGCACTTGTCTTTGTAAAGATCTGATGAACTTTCCAAACAGGTCATGGCAAATGCTCATGAATACCCAGGAACAGGTCATGAATGTCCAATTCCTCTGCGAAACAAAAGATTCCACGGTTACAGATGTACCCTTGGGTTACGGGAACATTTCAAAATAAAGTCTCCAGTTTGTATGCAACAAGGTAGATTTCAAACATAGTAAACTCTAACCCCGATGTCTCCCTTTCACAGAATTTTCTGGTAGGCCTAAATTGGGTAAGTAAGTAGCCTGGTGCTTAGAAGTTTCCTTAGAAGGCTTACCGATTCAGTAGATAATTTTTCCACCTTGTTCATGAAGTAAAAGTCACCCCTTGCATATTCTACCTGCAGATTGTACATCGTGGACCATCTTTCACATACACGGGGCATCAGCTTTGTCTTTGCTGTACACACCTGGTTTTTGTTGTTTCTAAAGATCTCTACTTCTAAAGTATGACAGTGCCAGTGACTTAGAACGTCGGCTTGCGTCACATAGGTCAAGACAAGCATTCTGTAGAAGGCACTGTCATTTCTCTTGCGTGATCTTACAGGGACACATGGATGATCATTCCCTTCCCATTCCCTGGGGTGAGAACTGTCTTTCTCCAAACGTCGTCTCCACATTAGCCACATTGGATGGTTTTGATGTTCACTGCTTCACAGCCTACCTATTTGTCCAGATGAATTTACAGTTAGTGGTCTTTTGGTTCATGAGTATTCCTTGAAATTAAGAGTACAGTTCTGGTATAAGACAAAATATGACCTACCACAGCCGAAACATCATCACAGTGTGCAATGTAATTCCCAGTTGCTAAGATTCCAAACATCTGCTCTGGCTTGTCAGTTATATCTGTCATCCGAAACGATCTCTGCAAGGCTAATTTAAACAGACTTTAAATGCATGTGGAAAGAGCTAAGAGCCCTTTCTCTCTCTCATGTGGAAGTGGTACCCTTCAATGAGAGGTATGATGTGGATAAAGTACAAGCAAATTGGACAGACCAATAATTACCATATAACTTACTATAGATTAATTACCCCAACTGGACAGGCCAATAACAACCAT